CCCTTAAATCCACACGGAACCCATTTCTCTCACTAATGTCTGGACTTAAGTTCCTCCGCTCTGCTCCGGAAATAAAATATTTTATACACTTATTTTTTTAATCAACTCATGACTTTCAATATTTAATGTACACTACGTAGTGTTGTGCAAATTCTGATTTTTTCAAGTTTCATGCGCATGGGAATTTTCGGAATTTCTTATTAGCTTTCGGAATATTTCGGAATCTATAAAATTTTGCTGGCATTATAGGTTTATACCAGCATTATATCGCTTTGCCAGCATTATATGTAATATATAAAAATCATGCGCATTGCACAACACCAACCCCACGTTGCATAATTATTATTATCTCGGCTAAAACTTTGTATTAGCCGTGACAAATTTTTTATTTATTTTTCTTTAAATGAGTAGCTACAAAATATCAATAATCATATAATTATAAAGAATTTCTATAGTAAACTTAGCATATTTGAATAAAAATGCATATTCATAAGCATAATTTCATAAATTTCAAAAAACGTTTATATCAAATTTCGTGTCGTATGGTCTTACATCATAGAATTAAGAATAGAAATTAGGTCTTGAAGAACGATACCATAGATTTATTTGATTTTTAGACAAACTAAAATATACTGTATATAACAGTGTTGGCCATTTTAGGTCATATCCGATTTTATATGAAAATGGTTATAACGTATAATAGATTTCATAAGTCATAATAGGTTATAAGGTCATACCTATATTTAGCAAGTAGAACATTTAAGGTCATAGGCCAATACTGGCATATAACATAATGAAACAAAAAATAAAGAATATAGGTCGAGAGAATAATTTAATTGAAATAATATAATAAATAATTACGGAGTTCTAGCTCTAAATATGAGCTATAAGGCTCACAAAGCAAATAAAGATTTTCATCTTGCATTTTCTTTGGATGAGGCTCTTTTTTATCGGACCTTAGCATGTAAGGAGGTCTGGAAGAATCAGAAGTTTCTTTTTTTCTTTTTTCCCTATAATCAGGATCGTAGGGAGGTCTGAAAGGATTTTTAGAAATTTTTCTGGTTCTTTTTCCCTTATAATCAGGAACACGTTTTTTCATTTCTTCTTCTACTTTATTGGCAAGCTTTTTAAATAGGTCTTTATCATCTTTATCCATGCCGTCCCAATATCTTTTCACTAGAGCCACAACAATGTGCAAGCGTTCTTTGCCTGGAATGTTAAAGGTATTGCAGATTTTTTTATAAAGGCCTTCTTTTGTCAATTTTTTGTGAAAATCAGTTTTGAATATCATCCAGCTGTTTAGCGGTCTAGGCACACGTCCGTATCTATTCTTTTTCAGTTCAACATAATCGCTAGGTTTTGCCGATCTACACTGTTCCAAAACGAAATTCTTGACCTCTTCGATCTGGAGACCAAATTTTTGAAATACCATATCGACAATTGAGACCTCTTCGATCTGAAGATCAAAATTTTGAAGCACCATATTGACATCTGGAAGAATACTCATGGTTTGATGCTTGAGACAATTCCTAAAGTCCGATTGTCGTATTTACTGATTTCCAAATTTTGATAATTTAACTTCTGCTCTTTTTATAAGTGTGTCGGCGAAAGAACCCCGGGCATATCATATGAAAGAATCCATGATTCATGAATTTTAAGCAAGAATGTTAGTAATTCCATTTATGATTGGACAAAGAAACATTGCAATCTTATTTGTTTCTAAAAAAAAAAAAGCAATCCACATGGATTAAAATTCATTGTTGAATTATATAAATTAGATAAAAAAAATTAAACCCCAAAAAAAATGTGATACACATGAGGGGGTTTCAGAATTAATGATTCGACGTCCGATTTCAGATAAAATAAGTGACGTATTTATTTCAAAATAAGCAACGTACAAATTCTATTTATTTTAAAGTATGTACTTAATTACATAATCGTTTACCGATGAATGTTTATCAAAAAAAAGCTAATTTTATCACCGGCAATGCCTATTTAATTTTCTGATTCGGAATTTTAAAAAAGAAAATAGGTCCTTTTAAACTCTCACTTATTTTGAAAAAAAGTTAATTCTGAAACCCCCATGGATTAAAATTCATTGTTGAATTATATAAATTTGACTGATGAAAAAAAAAAGGTGTCAAGAATACATCATTAAACTTTAAACTGTTAGACAAAAAAATCTTAATGACTAATTTATAATAATTTATGCTAGTCAGTTTAATTAATAGGGTTTCAAATCAGTTAAAGATCGGAAAAATAAAATCTGTCAAAATTTGGTAATAACACAACGCTACAACATTACACAATACAATGTGTGTTATTGTTGAATATATAATGACTATAATTAAATTAGCGCCATTTAAATGCATGCTATGAAATTAGTCGTAATTTTCGTATGTTCGGATATTAGACCCCGAAATACATACAATGCATATATACAAGATTAATATTTAAGACAATTATTAAAGCTTTGTTTTACAAAATAAAGAGATTTTGAGCCTCAGTTTCAGAAGCTTTTATCCCGTGACTCATACGATGCACCCAAAATGAAAGATGCCAACTATTTATAGGCGCATAATGCACTGTTTGTGTAAATAAGTGGCTTGTGTATTTCTAGGTGATGTCAGAATTTGATTTTATCTTGGGTTTTTTATTTTAAAAAAAATTTTTTATTTTTGCATCTTGTTATTTTCTTATTAATTATCTTGAATTGCTATGCTTATTGATTTTATCATTCCTTATATAGTCATTACAATGATCGATTAAGAAAGTTTCTACGTGCAAGGGTGTGATTGGCCTAATGGTTGAATAGTCGCTCAAAAAGAAGATTACGTATTCTGTAAGCTGTCTTTAAGTAGATCTTATATCCCTTATTTGATCAATTCCTTTGTCAATAAAAATTTTTATCCGGTAGCTTATTATGATTCGTCTGCCCAATAAATTTATTATTCGGCAGAAACTACATAGTTGCCGAATAATAAAATTGTTGGGCAGACTATCGTCATAAGTTACCGGATAAATCCGTTATCAATCATGCAGATGCCTTATAACTTAATTATTTGGTCAAATGATTTAAAGTCAGCCTAAGAAGTTGAATTCCTTCGGAATTCAATTTCTTAGTCTGATTTTAAATCTTTGACCAAATAAACCAGTTATCAGGCAGTGCCTGCCTGATAACTATTAATTACTTTTCTGCGCTACGGAAAAGGTGATGCTGAATTTTAGTGGAATTTTTACGTAATTTGAATAAATTATATATAATATTATTATCAATGTATTACATGCAGTGTTTAAAATCTATCTTTGGAATCTGCGGCGCGCAGTTTGAAATTTTATTCCTCAGCAAAAGTTTTCCGGAATATCATCAGTGTTACACATACTTCTTTTGAATTTACAAAAAAATACCAAACTTTTGAGATAACAATGAATTTTAAACAATGATTATATCATTATTAATGCAAAAGGAAGTGATATGAATTGATCAAGAAAATTCTTGATCGATAATAATTTCTTTGACTAATATCAAAATACGGAATTTCCGACAAATTCCATACAATCATACGGAATTATGCTAGATATTCTGTATAATTCATTTAAATTTTGTGTATTTTCATTAAATCTGCATTGTTTTTCAGGTTGCAATTGATCAATAAATTTCTTTCAATATTATATTTTTTAGTAATTATGCGTCATTCTAATTTTAATGTAATGCTGTAATGTTAATCCTGATTCAATTTTGATTGTTCAATTTACGAAGGTTACAATTTTTGCGAGCGCAAGGAAATTATGTAGCTAAGTACAGTCAGACCCCCTAAATGCACCCTCCCTAAATGCAGCACCTCTCTAAATGCACGTCTTCTTTTGGGCCCAACTAATATTACATCTATAGATTTTTACCTCCCTAAATGCAATACCTCTCTAAATGCACGTGCTAGAGCTGGTCCCGACAACGTGCATTTAGAGAGGTCTGACTGTAAAAGGAAAAATACTAAAGAGCGTAAATGATAATCATGGTAAACGAAAATATTTATGCTGTGATTTTTTGAATCATAGAACCACGAATATTTGCCTTATACCATATATCGCATCAATTCTACTACAATATGGGCACAACTAGGGTTGTAAAACTTACAATAATTTCAAATTTTGATGTAATTTACGATGTAACTTACAAGCAATTTTTATATGTTTGCTTAGTAAAAATTTTAATTTCATGCAAGTTATTGTGTAAGTTATACTGTAGTGTAAGTTTACAACCCTAGGCACAACACCTTCTTTGGCATTAATAGTATTAATACGTACCATTTGCTTAAACCCACTCGGATTTCTCAGTTGATCTACGGTTTCCACATACGTGTTTTAGCACTCTATTTGACTATCCTTGCAGCGTTTATTCACAAATAAAGCCATCTGTGCAAAGGCGGCATTTTTTGCTACAAGCTCGTCACTTATGGGCACACCAATTGCTGCTCTTCTATCAATAGTGGTTTGCTTATTAATATTAATAATTCGAAATAAATAATATTACTAAAAGAATTTTAAAAATTTAAGCTATGATTTATTTTTATTTTTCTTTATCGTTATTAGTTAGTTATTGCGACATCATATGAGTGTCGCCCGCAATACTAAAAATAGATTATTATGAAAAATCTTGATAATCTATTTTTAGTATTCTCTTGGCGGCACTCTATAATAATAAATCTAAAAAAAAAAGTTTACTCTGATTTTAAAATTTCAAAACAGAATAGGTCTTTTTAAACTCACTTATTTCGAAATAAGTTAATTCTAAATCACCCTATTATCATTAATATATTAACGCTCAATCACATTAATCTAAAAATAGACCAATATTATGAAAAGAAAATCAGGCTTTTGAATTTATTATAACTTAGCCCTGAAAATTTGATGACATGGTTTTTGCTTGAAAATCAAATTTTGATCATTTTCAAAGTAAAGACCCTACGTATGCATCTAATTTTTAAGGTCTAAATCCGGTAAGTTATACATAAATTTAAACAATGATTCAAAACCCAATTTCAATGGTTTCAATTGCGAGAAATAAAACTAAAATATGAATTATGTGTAAACATTTTTCTTTTCCTTCACTCACTTTCTCTTTACTTCAGTGTTGGCAAATTATGACATGGACATTTATGGACTATGTCCATATTGTTCATATTTTTATTGGAATAAGGCACTTAGTCCAAATCAAATACGCGAGCTTGCTACTCTGAAATGTTCCGGATAGAATAAGTCAAAATTGGTTAAATGTCTGAAACTTTCTGAATAATTCGACTAAGATATGGACATGGACACTATTTGGATTAGTCCATGTCCATATCAGTATTAATTTTTCAATTAAAATTTACTGTGCAGATGCTGCACAATTTATAGACTTTTTCTGTGCGGCAAATAAATAAATAAATAAAAACTACGAGAAACTATTTGCAACTGTGCGCAATACTTACAAATCTCAATTTCTCTGTGCGGCATTCGCACATCTATTCAAAAAAAAGGGTGCACAAAATTTTATTTCTGTATGCTGCGCATAGTCCGCACAGCGAAAAATAATTACTGGTTCATATTTTGTCCAAATCGAATTTTTATTGGACATAGTCTAAATTCCAACATTGCTTCACTTTACAAAATTAGCCACGTAATCTACTTCGCTTACCTTGTAATTCCAACAATCTGATTTGAAATCCTCGGCTGAGTTATCATAATTATCTCTAAATGACCGAAAGATATTACAAATAAGAACGAATTCAGAATTGTATAACTATATAGAGTTTGGCGTGGATCTACGAGAGATGGCTGTGTAAGATTCCATGTTTAGACTATCATTTCAACTACTGTATTATGCCAAATGTGTAAAGATTTTCATTTGAATTACAGTACTGACGTTAACCAATCGTTATTGAAAAATTAGGCTAGGTAACAAGCAAATATATGTTTAACGGTATATTAATTCGAGTTACGAGACACAAAAGAAAAAAAGAAAAGAAAAAGGAAGGTTATTAACGCCGGGGAATCCTTAAAAATTGATAAACTTTTGTGCATAATCTGGTAAAGTGGCTTTATTTGCAGATAGTTCAAATTGAGGTTGTATTCGTAAACAGATATAACAGATATAACAGATTATCAATTAACTTTGATTTCGCAGGTTTTTTTTTCGGAAAATATAAGCCAGAATTAGTTTGATAATCATTATAAGATTGAAAGCATGGCTTTCAATTCGGTCTAACTGGTACATGTGACAAACTTTGTATTTTTTAATTTTATTTATTAAAATTAGTATAATTAACTAGTAATTACAAAAAAATATAATTAATCTTTTAATAATTGAGTTACTTATTATTAATAAATTTTAATTTATGGACAGGGCCAGTGTTAAATATTTGATGTTCCCAGTGTTCCCAGGAACATTTAAAAAAATTTGGGAACACTAAATTTAAAATTTATGTTCCCTTTTAGAAACAAAGTGGGAACATAAAAGTTATAATTTGTGTTCTCTATAGTAATAGTTTTTTGATGTGGTATGGCTTTTTTTTTTATAGTTATGGTATGGCATGTATGCTTTTTTTAGTATTTAAATTAATTAATAAATAAATTGATTAAATTAATTTAGAGTTTGAGTGAGTGAGTGAGTGAGTAAGAGAGAGAGTGAGTAAGAGAGAGAGTGAGTAAGAGAGAGAGAGAGAGAGAGAGAGAGAGAGAAAGAGAAAGAGAGAAAATTTATTAATTTTATTATAAGAATATTAAAATTTTTTTGGGAATATAAATTTAATATTTTATGTTCCCGAAAAACAAAAAAAAAATAGTAATTCTTTTTCACTAGACAGGACTAGTCAGTGCCCCATGCACTTTGTGCCCCCTATCATAAAATCATTAATATCTCAAAATTTTACTAGAGTAATCTCTGTTTTGTGACTAAGCAAAAATGTTTTTCTCACAATTTTACACTACTATAAACCTAAATTCTAACCCTAACCTAACTCTATTTAACCCTAACCTAACTCTAACCTAACTCTAACCTAACCCCAACCTAAAATCATAAAATTGCCAATATCTCAATTTTACTAGAGTAACCCCCTATTGTGTAATTAAGCAAAAATATTCCTCCTGCAATTTTACACAATTTTGCTAACTCTAATCTAATTTTAATTTTTATTATAGGTTAAATTTTTGCTAGGGTCACAAAGTACATAGGAAGCACTTTCTGGATTTATCTTTAATTTATTATCATTTAAAAAAATATTTAATTTTTTTTATTTAAAAATAAAAAAAAAATTTAATTAAAAATTTAAAAGTTTATCTTTTATACTATTAAACAAATAATTTGATATAATATTTGCAATTTTTTTAATAATATCATATAAAAAGACAAGTATTATAAAATAGTATATATCTTGGTGATTGAATTTAGAATAGGCTATTATAATTTTCTATAACTACACTAAAGTGTGATATTTTACTTTCAATTCTCTATTTTAATTAATAAAAAATAAATTTGCTTACTAAATACAAATAAGTATAAGATAAAGAATCATATTTGTAATTAGTATATAAAATTCAGATTCAAAATTATTTTTTCAAAAAAAACTTAATTGAAATCATTAAATCTTTAAATATTTTTCTAGACATCTCTAGCCAGAGATGTTTAGTTTACACATTTCTGGCCTAAAATTATACACAACTATAGTAGAAATTATAAGTATTCCATAACTTTTTAAATAAAAAAGCTACAGCTTTAAACTTTTTACTATAAGTAGTATTTAATAAATATAGATCAGTAGCAAATTTTTATATTTTTTTAATTACTACAACAAAAGTTAGATAAGAGCTAAAATTTTTAGCCATTTTAGATACTAAAAACTAATTGAATTTAATTAAAAGTTTATAAAAAATTAGAATTAAATCCAAAAGCTTTAAGAATTAACAGGATTAAACTTTAAGCATTTTTATAGTATTGACAAAAATTTAATTTAATTTAATAGAATGGTTACTAAGAAATTAATTGTCACAGCTAATGCTGAAATTTTTTCATATTTTATTATAAAATTATAAAAAATTTTTGGGACTTTTTTTTATACTTTTTTTTTATAGTTAGGTTAGGGTTAGTAGGGTAGTTTTATTAATAAAAAAGTATAAGTGAATTTTAGTAGGTATTATAGATTTAAATAGAGACCCCAAATTTCAGCATTAGCCGTTTTCAGCATTAGCTATAATATTAATTTTTAAAGTAATTTTACCATTTTGAAAAATCATATGTGTTTTGTAATTAGGTATTTATTTAATAAAACCATAGTAATTTTAAAATTTTTATCAAATATTTTAAAATAATTTTAAAAAATAATTTATCATAACTATCTTATTGAATTTACTTAAATTTTTTTTTAGAATTATAAAAATGCTTGAATTTCAATTTATTAATTTTTAATTAAATTTAATTAATTTTTATTTTTAGTAACAAAATTTATTAAAATTTTAACTCTCATCTAACTTTTGTTGTTACTACTAATCTATATTTATTTAATACTATTTATAGAAAAGTTTTAAAGTTGTAGTATTTTTATTTAAGAATTTAAAAAAAGTAGAATACTTATAATTCCTACTATATACAATTTTAATTAGAATTAGGGTTACATAGTGTTGGGTAAAAGTAAATACTATAAGTAAAATTGCCTTTCTGATACAGTACACTTTCTTGAATCTGATACACATAGTAGACAGCTTTTATATCAGTTATAAGAGATTATTGGATTTAAAAATTGATTTAAAATACTAATAGCTTGTTGTCACATAATTACAAATAAATATAATTGGCTGGATTATATTTCTTATATATATAAACTATTGCACAAAAACTAATCTCAGCCAATCAAATTGATTTATATTATTTGTCAAAACCAATATCTTATAAATATCTGGTCTTTTGGATATCAGTTATTAGAAATTGCAGATTATTAGATTTTAATTATAAAACAAATTTGGTAAATTAATTTTTTATTGATTATAGCAAATTATTGGTTTTAACTGAATTGGTTTTGGAAAAATGTATACTGTATTTTTAATTATTACTTCTAAATAGATTTAAATAGCTGTTTCTTGTATTTTTTATATTTTTTATATTTTTTATCTTTTTTGTATTGTTTTTATTTTGCTGAACTAATCTGTAATAATTATTTTTATACTAGTTTTACTACAAAATCTAAAAAGACAAATTTCTAAAAGAATTTAATACTAACAAAGTTAGCTAGCATTAATTATAATATTAGTCAATTTAGTTAGTATCAGTGTACAAAATTTAATGTTCTTAATGTTTTCTGAGAATATAAAAATTTTAGATTATATTTATATAAAAATATAATAAATTGTACATATAGATTCTGTGCCAGATTATGCTAATCACTGCTGATTTTTAACTATATCAGTTATACAAAATATACTTACTTGTATTTGTGCAATATCTCTATACTTAATCAGATAGAACCTTTTCTAACTTGTATATACTTATATATAAATTCTAATTAATAAATTTAACTATTTTTTAAATCTTTTAGCAATATTTATTCAATAACTTTATGATCAAAATTTAGTAAAAATTTTTTTATTATAATTTTATATATCTGTAGAATTAAATAAAAGAAATTCTTTATTAAATTTAACTTAGTAGTTATTGAGAAAATAAAATTTTAAAAACTTAAAATTCCTTAAAAAAATAAAATCAGATAAAATTTGAAATTTAAATAAAGATTTCTTAACAATCAACAATTCAAATTTGATAAAAAATTTTTTATATTAATTTTACATATTTATAGAATTAAAATAAAAAAATTTAATCAAATTTGGACAGCAAGTTGTCAAGAAAACTTAATTAAAATTTAAAAAATTTTGCTATAGCTTTTTTTTTAAGATATTTAAACTTTGAATAAAGATTACTCAACACTTATTTGATTAAACTTAATCAATTTTTTTTTAATTTTATAAGCTCATAAAATCAAAAATAAAAAATTAATCAAGTTTAATTAAGTAAGTGTTAAGTAATCTTTGTTTAAAATTTAGATATTTTAAAAAGAATCTGCTACAAATTTTTTTAAATTTTAATTGATTTCTTGACAACTTGATATTTAAATTTATTTATTTTAATTCTACAAAGATATAGAATTAAAATTTTACTGAATTTAATCATGTAGTATTGCTAGAAGATTTAAAAACAGTTAAATTTATCAATAAAATCTGCAATATAATCTGGCACAAAATCCATATATGCAAATTTTGTGCTTTTATTATATATGCTAATTTATAATCAGAAGTTCAATATTAAATATTTTTTAAGATCGAATATTGGTTATATTTACATGTCAAAGAATTATAAAGTTTATGAATTTTTGACTTTTTATTAATGGGAATTTTTAGGCATCTCTGATTTATATATCTTTGGTCTTTTAGCCAATCAAATAATGAGAAAATTCTATAATTAAAATTTATATATTGATTTGACTGCTGATGCAAGATCAAATAATCTTTTCCAGATCTAAATAGATAAGTATTTTTTTATATAGCACAATGATTATCTTGATGGTTTTGATGTTTTTTTGTTTTTCTTTCACCTTGCTTCTTTTTTATTTAGCTATATTACCTTTCACCACTGGTGCCATTGTTGGTATTATTGTAGTGTGGAGTTTTAAATACTAATAGTAAGTAGTTTAGTACTCTTTTGGATTCTATTATTAGTGTTACTTAACCTTTCATGTGTTCAAGTGTTTGGTATTTTGAATTTTATTGTTAAACATTATTTTGGTATTTTTTTGTTTACTTTTGTTGTTGCTTGGTTCACATTGATATTTTTGGTGCTAATTCTTGTAGTGATATAACTAAAACTACACTCTTTTTTTCAAGAAGGTGGTATTTAGATGTTTTTTTATCAACTGTCTTTCATATTGCTATAGTAGTAGTAATAAGTAGTTCAGTGCTTTTTATATTAATATTTTTTGGTGCTAATTTTTTATTGTAATTTTGTTTCACTAGTAGTGATGTGATTAAATTACCACTTATTTTTTCAAAAAGGTAGCATTTTGAAATTTCTTTTGCTGACTGTCTTTCGTTATTGCCTAGTGTCACTGTTGTAGTAGTGGTAAGTAGCTTAGTGCTTTTCTGTATTGATATTTTTTGGTGCTGATTCTTTATTGTAATTTTGTTTTGCCAGTAGTAATATGACTAAACCACTACCTTTTTTTTCAAGAAAGTAACATTTTGGTATTTTTTTATTGGCTATCTTTTTTCATTGCCTAATATCACTATTGTAGTAGTAATAAATAATTTAATACTTTTCTGCATTGATATTTTTGTTACTAATTCTTTGTTGTAGTTTTGTTTCTCTGGTAGTGAATTTTATTGATATAACTAAACTATTTTTGTTTTTCAAGAATGTGGCAGCATTTTGGTATTTCTTTGTTTCATCTTTTATCATTGCTTGGTGTTGGTGATAAGAAGTTAATACTTTTTCATATTGATATTTTTGGTATTGATTTTTCATTATAGTTTTGTTTTGCCAGAAGTGATGTGACTAAACTACCACCTTTTTTTAAGAAGATGTCAACATTTTGGTATTTCTTTCATCTCATCTTTTGTTATTGCTTGGTGTTTCTATTGTAGTAGTGGTGGTAAATAGTTCAGTACTTTTTTATATTGTCATTTTTAGTACTAGTTCTTTGTTGTAGTTTTGTTTGCTAATAATAATATAACTAAACTACTACTTTTTTTTTAAGAATATGGTGGCAGTTTGGTGTTTCTTTATCTTATCTTTTATCATTGCTTGGTGTTACAATTGTGTAGTAATATTTAGTACTCTTTTGTATTGATGTTACTAATACTGATTCTTTGTTGTAGTTTTATTTTACTAGTAATAGATTTTGCTAGATTTTAGCATTGATGCAATTTTTTGTAGTATTGATGTATATCGTAATTGTGGCAGTATTAAAATACTGTATTGTATATAGTATATATATAGCATAGAATAAACTTCATATGTATTATATATAGATAATTTATTCTATATTGATAAAATAAAGTTTTTTTGTTTTTTATATTTTTTTTAACAAAAAATAAAGACTTAAACAATAAAATTTGAGAATTGCTTATTTTTATAGCTGTACTATGTATATGTATTATATTTTATGATGTATATTATAATCTACTATGATTTATAGTATATATAAAAATACTCATAGCAAAAGCAAGAAACAAGACTATATAATCTTCTGCTTTTGCTATAGACATTTCTATTAGTGTTTAAAATTCAAATCTAAATCTATATATATATTAAGCTTACTCTTTTAGAATTCTTTAGACTATATATCTTTTTTTTTTTTTTTTAATATTAGGGTGTAGTATCTGTTTCAAACTTTTATTAATACTTAAGCAAGTTAATATATGTTAGTGCTAAAATACATATATATTATATATCAGAACTAGGACTAATACTTTAGATCTAGAATCATTTATTCATAGCTAAAATCCACCAGAGCCGTTAACACTCCCACACATGTAATTGACCTAGATTTATACATCTCTCTCTAATTACCAATTAGTATTTACATGTTTACTACTTTATCTATATATCTAATATCTTAACTTTCAAATTGGTGTATACTAGATAGGCACTTATTGCTTCTAGTTTGGTGTGTCTGTTCCCAACTAGCATACTTCCAAAAGTTCATATCTCAAGCCATACAGCTGCTTCTACCTAATTGGTAAGTATCTCAAACCTGCATTTTGCTATAACTAGCTAGTTTCCTGTGACTTTGGAACTCAGGTCTTAATATTTCGAATTCAGTAATATATACTTTCCAAAATGGTAATGAAGCTATCTAGACATGTTTTACAAATACTTACAATATCTGATATAGTTGGATTGGATCAGGAGGTTTAGAAGTTGTTAACAGATATGTCATCATTTCTATTTATAGTGTTATAGTGATTCTCGACAATTGTAGCCCCAGTTACTGCTGTATTCACTTATATTAGCCATACCTGTATTGGTAGTTCTAAGTCCTCTTAATTCATAAACAGAAATTTGTCTGATTGGCTAGTTTTTAAATTGATTTGTAAATCTACACGTGATTATTACCCAATCAAATTGCACAATTTTTATTCATTATTACAATATTACAGTA